TTATTATTATTTATTTATGTTTATAATTTTCATTTATTTAAATTTATATTTATTAACTGAATACTTCCCACACACCCACAGGAAAGTCAGGGGAGGTTCTCCATTCACATATGTAAAGCAAACATGTAGAAAATAACCGTACCGTGATATTATCATTATATTACATCCTCACTTACGTATTATGCCTACAGGCTATTGTGAGCACAGTACCCTCCAGATAAAACTTATATCTCCATTGTGGTTCTATGCTGATAGTAGTTAATAATTTACTTGACAATCTATACAAATATATATGTATGTTGGTTAAACATTAGTGCTCTGTCCATTTATTCAAGCAGAGTGATAATGACATTGTCATGAACTCCCTGCCAAAGCATCTCTCCTTCAAAGCCTATATGTCCGTGTTTCCGGCACCTCAGGAGAATGCCAACCACTTTGTCTGAGATGCGCACATATCGGTCAAACAACCTCCCAAACGTCACTCTGATTTTTCCATCTCGGCCTCGAACTCCCACTTCCTTAATTATGAGGCACATTTCCTCTATCTCCTTGTGTATGTGCTGTTGTGCTCTCTTTCCCCTGGCCTCCGTCTTGCTGCCCTTCTCCGGTCTACCATAACCTTCGTCGCCCTTGTGAAGCCGGGCCTCCATGGCATGCTGGTAATCAAAGTCATCGCTGAATGGATTGAGCTTCTGTTTCTCCACGTGTACTTCAGACCGGCTCTGCCATTCCTTCCGAAGGTCGGATATGGTTAGAATTTTGATCTATGAGAAGAGAACATTTGCGTAAATAAAAACAGCATAGCAGAAATGGTGCAAGTAAAGTAATGATGTGTTTGTAAAGGAATGGCTTTAAAAGGATGTGGTTTTGCCCCTGCTTGACCTCCCCCCCCCCAATAGAATATCTCAGTTGTGTCTGCAGTCTGTTCGAGGGCAGATGTTCATATTTGTTATCAGAAGGAGTGCCATTAGGCCCCATTAACACTGAGCGATTTATCGAGCGATTTTTGCAGCGATATCGCTCATATTTCCACGCGATATCGCTCTATGTAGCTTCTCCAATCCATTTCAATGGAGCTGTTCACATCTCGCCGCTCAATATCGCTTGTAGCTCGTCGCTGGTAGCTTGTCGCTCCTACATGACCCTTTTTTCGAGCGATTTCGAGCGATATTGCTCGTGATTGCATACAGCCCAATAGGAAAAAGTCGCGCGACAAGTCGCTCAATATCGCTCGTCGTGTAATATCGCTCAAAATCGCGCGATTTTCATGTCGCTCAGTGGGAATGGGGCCATCGAAGACAAAGCAGTGTTATCAGTGTTACCCTGTTGCTGTCATCCGGATTGGATGATGATTGCTTTGTCGGTGGCTACAGTCAGATCAGACCGCAACTTGGCTGGGGGATCTCTTTGGAAATCTCTTGATTTTGTGGCCAGTAGGTTATTTTTCTCCTTGGATAAGAGCAGCACAGGGATGTTCAGCACAACAAATCAATATGCATCTCTCTGTATGCATATCAGTGAAAAGAAAGATCATATTATAACTGGATTTGTATCAAATGTTGAACCATAGTCTATGGTAGCCTTCCCCTCCCTGCAGTTCTTAGCTAGTGTGGGACTTCAAGTTCCAGCAACTAGAGTGTCACAGGTTGGGGGAAGGTGCTTCCATGGTTTGTGTGCCTTCTGTTGATCTGGCCTTTTAACGTGGTGGAGACCACCACCAGGGTCGTATTAAAGGAGAATTATGAGGCAAGTGATTTTCACTCAGCCTCATGATCTGAGCCGACCTGTGACCTATGAAACTGTCACAGGTCTGCTCAGTAGATTGGGAAGTGAGCGAACACATACCGTCGATCGCTCACTTCTTGATCTATCCCTGCTCCCTGCAGGGATTCCCCTCTCCCCGCTCCGATCCTCCAGCGCTGACTGGCGGAACGGACGGGGGAGGGGGCGGGTACAGCTGGCTCTGCCTCTGGATAGGCAGAGCCAGCTTTAAATCCCGCAGCTGGGTGGATCCAGAGAGTATTGTTGGGATCCGTACTGGCTGCGGCGTCTCAGTATACCGCGAGCTGTAGCTTGCGGTATACTGAGCTTTGGGTCACGGGAGAACGCTAGTTTGTGTTCTCCCGTGACCCTCAGGAGAACTATGGGGAAAAGCCCTAACCCCATAGTTCTTTAAGACACCATATGCCCCTAAGCAACAAATAATATTGGCACCCTCCTTCAGGTGAGATCATTCCCTCCTCAGACCACATTGACCGTTCATTTAAGTCACTATTGTGACTTATATGTCCTTTTGAACACTGCAATGCTACAATCAACTGAAAAGCAACTCTGCACCATAGAGTAGAAACTAAACGCAGATTTGATGGATTGCGTCTTCTGTGTCCTTAGTTTGTCCCCTTTTGCAGACATACCCAGGCTGTTTCTCATGCTGAGTGGTATCAGATGTCCTGCATATTAGTGTGCACGCTGTAAACTGGTAGATTTATGTAGCATACTGTATCTCCTGACTGTCCCTCAGGCTAGGGTCACAGCTAGGCGATTACGCTGGTGAGCTGCTTTTGCGCGATTTTCCTTTGAAAACCGCGCAGTTGTCGCACAGTTTTCAATGCATAGAGATGTCTATGTGACCCAAACTGTGCGACAACCGCCCCAAAATAGTTCCTGCACCTTTTTGCGCGACAGGCAATTTCGCCTGCGCGACAAAACCAAAAGGTGTGAATAGCCTCCATTGACTTTCATGTAAATTGGTGTTTTGGCGTGATATTGCGCAGCTCAATCCCTAAGTTAGAGCCAAATCACTCAGTCCCCATTTCCTCCTCAGTTATCCCTTTTTCCCAACCTCTGCGTTATTCCATTGCTTTTTTAAAAAGCTGCTGTGAAATACTTAGGGTATAGCGAATCATTTTTTGGGGCGTATTATGTCCTATTTACACTTGAGCTGAGCATCTTTGGTTGTTTTTTGAGGATTTGTAGAGGTGTTTTTGCGCACATTTCAGACTTACGCTTTTTTTTTTTCATTGATATTTTTAGCCAGTGGAAAGTTATTTACTAGGTAAGGAAATATGTAAAAAACATTTTGCAGGTGCTCCTATTGGGATTCTTTCAGGGCAACCCAACAGATTCCATGTACTTTTTTGAGCAACGAGCTTCAAGCAATACTACGCTCCAGTGGCGGAACTACCGCCGGTGCGGGCGGTGCCGCCGCACCGGGGCCTGAGGCTGTGGGGGGGCCCAGTGGGGTCCGGTCCTGGGCACCCCCCCAGCCTCCGTGGGGGCCGGGCCCGCGATATGGCGCAGTATCACATGCCCCGCCCCCTGCAGTGCACACATCGACACATGGCTGCTGCTCCTGGAAGGGTGAGTCTGAGCGGGGGAAGGGGGGTGTGTGTCTTACTTCATGTCATTAGGCATGTGGATTATAATGGGGAATATTACACTGTAATGTTCCCTATTATAATCTATTTCTCTGTTGTGTACTGCTATTTTATGTAATTAGACAAATGGATTATAATGGGGAATATTACACTCTAATGTGCCCTATTATAATCTATTTCTCTGTTATGTACTGCTATTTTATGTAATTAGAAAAGTGGAATATAATGGGAATATTACACTCTAATGTTCCCTATTATAATTTATTTCTCTGATTAAATGATTACAGGTAGGCATGTGATCTGTCACAGTATGAGACTACGTTAGAATGTGTGACCAGTGACGCGCTGGAATGTTTCACCTAGGGACCCCGGCGACCAGACCAGCCCACCTGGGACCCTGCAGAGTCCACCATAGAGAGTCTCAGGTGGGCTATGCAGGATCTATGGTGTGCTCTGCAGGGTCTCAGGTAAGTCCAGCACGCCACTGCAACATTAGAGACCGCTGGGGGGGATAAAATCTTGCACCAGGGCCCTTTGGTTATTAGGTCCGCCACTGCTATGCTCAGATGTGAACAGGCACCTTTAAATATAATGGAATTCGTAGTGTTAACCGTTGAAGGGCTTCTGGTGAGGGATCAAATTGCTCAGGTATGAACAGGGCCTACATTTTTCATGGCCAGTGTAACAAGGGTAAGGCATGGGTGCGTCCTTTGCCTACATACACTGTGCTATAATGTGTCCTTCATTCCCAACCCAGAAAGTTGTCACGTATGAAATAAGACAAGGCAGTGCCTCAATAGCCCATAACAACCAATCAAAATTAACCTCAAACCACTTTTCCTCAGTTTGGGGGCAGCAAAAACCATAAAACAGCAAATATTGGATGTTATAAGGGATCAAATTGCTCAGGTATGAGGGCCTAAATTTTTCATGGCCAGTTTAACAAGGGTAAGGCATGGGTGCGTCCTTTGCCTACATACATTGTGCTATAATGTGTCCTTCATTCCCAACCCAGAAAGTTGTCACGTATGAAATAAGACAAGGCAGTGCCTCAATAACACATAACAACCAATCAAAATTAACCTCAAACCACTTTTCATCAGTTTGGGGGCAGCAAAAGCCATAAAAGAGCAGACATTGGAGGTTATGTTTTTCACAGCATGCAATATATTCTGCGGCTTCACTGACATCTGTATTATTTTTAGCATTTTAGCCTGAAGACATGATTATGCATACGAGTTCAAGATCCCTTACCTTAGAGAGAAGTGCTTTCCTTCGTTCCCCGGCTGAAGTCTGACAATCAGTGCGGTCCTTATTTTCAGACATTGTGCTTCCAAGTCCTGAGTTATCCGACATTCGGATTGGTCAGCAAAGAATAAACACTAAAACACCTCCAATGATCAAGGCCTTAAGGAGAATTAACAAGATATGGCCGTTGTCTTCTGATTTCTCCTTCACAGTGTATAACCAAAAGGCAATATGAAGACCAGTGTCCTCTCTTTGTATGAGCAAGCAGAGGCCTTCAGTCATAAGTTAAGTCCCGAAGAGGCTAAAATGTTATATTTGGCACTTTTTTAAACTTTTTGCTGTAGCCGGTGGAAGCCCCCATGTGCTCTGGTCCCGTAAAATCTTTGTGTTGGCTTCTCAGACTGACCGGCTCCTGAATTCTGCATATCTGTCCACCCTGGTTCTTTATTGGCTTCATTGAGTGGTGCTAGTACATGGTGTCCTCTGTATATAGGAGAGAGATGATCCCTGTGGCATGAAAGGCATCCAAGTGGTGTCATTCTAACCTTACAGAGCAACAGATGGGATGTAAAAAAAAAAAGGCTTCACTTTACCGAGGTGGTAAGGCTTTACATCATCCTAATCATGTGTTTCCTTTATAATTAATGAGGAATGTACGAGTCCGGGGGGGGGTTGGGGGGGTTTAATGTAAATCCATCACCAAGCGTAATTCCTTCTCCTCAGAACTCAGCTTTTGTTATAGACATCTTCTTTAGTGTGTGAGGTTTCATATGTGGAATGTTTACACAGTTATTGTTCAGAAGTTTGATCTGCCAAGGTCAGAAAACACTCTAGTCTGTCCATCTGCTTACACTTCTCACTACTACGGCCATAAACTATCTGGGGTCAGTCTGACCCCAGTAACTAGTGGAATAGTGGAGACTGTCACTTTAAGACATGTTAAATAGCTTTAGATCCTAAATCTGTCCATATATAAAATAATTTACACTGTTGTTGGCTCAAGAAATCACCAAAGCAGCTCCTTGTGATAGAAGAGATACTATATCCCCTCCCTTTTAGAGTGTAAGCCCTCAGGGGCAGGGCCCACCTTACCATCTTGTCTTCAATTGTATTGTAATTGTAATGTCTTCCTTATGTTGTAAAGCGCTGCGCAAACTGTTGGCGCTATATAATCCTGTATAATAATAACAATAATCACCTCTGGTGGCTCACATCTCAGATGCCTAAGGCTGGTCATATACTTTTCATTTTTTAGCTCCGTTTCTACTCCCTGCGCTCGATCCCCATCCGTCCTAGACAATGTGGATGGGGGAATCCCCCCAGTGCGCTATTGTATGCTGACAGCAGCTCTCAGCATACTCGCACAGCAACTGTGCAGCTGATTAGTTTCAAGCACAGTTCAGCTGAGAATTTCTGAACCGGCTTCTTCAACAAAACAGGATTGAAAAATCAGCTTTTGTCAATGGAAGGGACACCAGCGGGGGCCACACACCTTTTGGCTGAACATAGCTGCTGACTTGGCTTAAATTCAAACCGTGTATGACCAACCTGGGCCCCCAGCTTCGCTCTGTGATTCCAATCTCTGACTCCTACGTAACATTCCTGTAATTAAGGCCGGGTTCACACCCGGGCGATCCGGGACCGCTCGGCAATCGTGCACGAATCCGCCGCTCACGGAGTTGCCCACCACCGACGATCGCGCTGGCGGTGCCATTATCTTCTAATGGCACTCCAGTCGTGCTGGGCGGATCACGCTAAAAGAGCCGCGTGTTGTGTATCGCAAAAAAAGGCACATGTACCTTTTTTCTGCGATTGCCATGCGGATATAACCCATTGAAATCAGTGGGGCCGCGCGGCAATTGCTGTGTGCAATTCTGCACGATTGCGCATCCCGGATCGCCCAGGTCTGCACCGGCCCTTAAAGAACACTGCAGCAAACAAGAACAGAAAAAAAACCACAACAAATCCAGTTTTTCTAGAAGAAACAAGGATTCTGATTGGCTTCTTTGGGTAGTCCTTCATTTTTGGCACAGACCTTCATAAGTCAGGTTCACTGGGTGCGGAGTGAGGTGTTTGATCTGCAGCTGTCACAGCGCAGTCAGGTGCGGGTCGCCGTCTGACAGACATCTCCTGACAATCTGCACGCCCTGTCTGTAAAAGGCCAGGAAAACGTCCTGTGCCTGTGCGACATCATAGAGGAATGGCAGCACCTGCTCAGGCCCCGCGTGGCCCCTGTCTCTGCACGGGGTTAATTGGCTGACATGTTTACTGCCCTCTATGCCTCTATATATAAACAGAGATGTTCTGCAGCCTGCAGGTGTTTGCTTCTAGCAGTAATATGAAACAAGTGGTAAACTATGCATCGGTTCTGTCATGGGATTACAGATTCCGTACTCGCTCACATTTTATAAGAACAAGACCTTAAAAGGCAACTCCACTTTATAATATTTCAGGTTTGAGTGAATGGTTGGTTGAATCACCTGCCTTTTTAATATATAAAGAATAATAGCAAATAAATAAAAAGAGAGAGACACTGATTGAATAGTTCTCCTTTAATGCTACTACAGTACAGTGAGAGGTGCTTCTTGGGGGTAGCCTGTACCCCTGTATCCTACACCATGTACAGCCTTCATCCTTTCTTATCAAGATGCTCGTGAGGTATTTGGATAAAGAAGAAAATCACTTAAAAGTATTTGTAAAGCCCAAACATTTTTTTAGCTCAGATAAAGTACGCTGCGGTTTAAACCACTATAAATTAATTTATTTTGCTATCTTTGCCCCATTTGGGAGATTTCCCTCCACTTCCTGTTTGTGATTTTAGTGTAGTTGGGGCGGGTGCCGTGGCAGCGGGTATCCCTGAATCCTGCACCATGTACCTCCTTCATCCTTTATTTTTAAGAAGCTCATAAGGTAATTGGATTAAGAAGAAAATCACTTAAATGTATATAAAGCCCTTTTTTTTGTTTGTTTTAGTTTTAGATAGAGTAGAGAAGGGTTAAAAACCACTACAAGGTTATTTCTGTGCTGTCTTTGTTCCACTTTCTGTCCTGAACACTCAGTACACAACTTATGCCGGTGTTCTATCGAAACCTCCAACTCCTCGAGATCTCCAACCATCTGACTTCTGGTTTACTTAGAAGAGGTTTGGCCGAGAAGGCTGTACTGCACGTGCGCCACCCGCGGCATTTCCCTATACACATAGTACACAGCAATAAAGTATTACAATAAACTCGGGTCACACTAATCCAGCGCGTTATTCATCTGAGTTGCCCCGCTCAATATGGCCGCAAGCGACGGACATATTGAGTGGGGCAACCTAGATGAACAGGGCTGAACGTGTGGGTGCCAGGCTCGTGCTGGGCTCTCCAGTGCTGTGCCGGGAAGGAGGAGCTTTGGGGCTGTAACGGTGACCATGAGGTCCCCAGCAGGCTGTCTGAGGTCCCCAGCAAGCGCGTGATGTCAGACAGTGGAACTTGTGTAAAAATGTAAAGGGCCGATATTGGCTTTTTAGTGGCAGGGCATTTTCACGAGTACAAGTATAGGCCCCCATACCAATACTAGTATTGGTATCGGGACATCTCTACTATCTATCTATCTATCTCTCTCTATGTATCTATCTATCTCATATCTATCTATCTATCTCATATCTATCTATCTATCTATCTATCTATCTATCTATCTATCTATCTATCTCATATATATCTATCTCATATCTATCTCATATCTATCTATCTCATATCTATCTATCTATCTATCTATCTATCTATCTATCTATCTATCTATCTATCTATCTATCTATCTATCTCTCTCTATGTATCTATCTATCTCATATCTATCTATCTATCTATCTATCTATCTATCTATCTATCTATCTATCTATCTATCTACACACACATAGATAAAGTATATCTGCAATGCATACCGTAGTAGGCAGATCTGACTGTAATATTCCCAGTGATGGAAGATACTTTCTGTAATGATTTAATGGAAATACAAGGTTGCCACTGCTGACCTCTTTCTGAACATGCTAGTTGCCTGGCTGTTTCTCATTTCAGTGCTTTCTAAGTTTCTGTGTTGGAACCAGAATGTAGCAAGTGAAGTCAGAACTCTCAAACACTTGTTCCTGCGATTCTGAAAGAATTATTGCAATTGGATCAGTAGGACAACCAGGCACCCAGCCTTTCCAGAAGGAGAGGTCATGAATGGCAGCCTCCATACATGACTTTATATAGGTTTCCTGTATTTAACGGTAAGCAGTACCAGCTCATTTACAGTAGGTGGTGCTGTCATTCTGTGCATAGGGAATGCTGAAACTTGGTTATATAGCCTATAATAGCTCCCCACTGACCGATACTAGGTACTGCATCTGAGATTTTAGTCAGATATGAATCATTCCATTTAAAATCATTCACATGACACAGCCTTACCTCTAATAAAGCTTTGTCTGTGTGTACATCTTGTGCACCTTGGGTGCTGAGGGACCTTGTCCCGGCACTGCCAGTCACTGTGTTTTTCATGCCATTTGTATCTCCATTGGTTAGTTTCCCATTCACGCTCTACCTCAGGGACACCCTGCATGACAGTGCATGGGGTAATGGGTGATTAAAATCTGGCAGGGATTCAAACCCTTCCCTATTCTATTTTTAAACTAAAACAAAAACATGTTCAATGGCCTTCCACCTTAACAAGCTTATAATTTGAGCTATATGGGAGGAGAAGTGAAAAGCCCTATTTTATATTTTATAGCCGGAGATTTCAAGATAGGAAAGAGAGATAACTGGCATGGGGTGAAGTTGACCGTTGGAGTCCCCAAAAGATATAACAAGCTAGTGTTGGTTTCATTTCAGCAGACTTACATAGTTAGGCTGACCATATTCTATGGGGTGTAGTTATAAACAATTAGAAGAGCCATTAGCCCTTAAAAATGTTATGTACATTCGCTTTGTGCAATGGAGGCAAAAACAAATGTTTTTAGCATTTTTTTCTTTCCAGATCAAATGCAATATCAGGTAAATACCAAATTATGGCCACTAGATGGAGCATAGGAGATAAATACTCCTTTGTTATTAGCATATTTTCTTTCCAGATCGAATGCAGTATCAGGAAAA